GGCGGGTGCTGCCCGCCCAAGCCCGCGGCTGCGCCGGCGGCGGCGGCGCCGGTGAGCAATGGGGCGGCCTCCTGCTGCGGTCCCAAGAAGTCGTGCTGCTGAGCTGGCCTGCGGCCTGCAGGGCAGCACAGCTCGGCGCGCGCCCCGCGCCCCGCGCTCCTATCCGTACGGCGGCACCTGCCTCGCCATCCTCCCACTGCACGTTTTGGCGTGCTCAGGGATTGTTCTGCGCCCCCGCGCGGTGACTGGCACGCAGCCTGCACTTGCTTGCACTCCGCTTTGGATGGCTGCAACAGTCCATCCCTGCTGCCACTTGACTTCATACATTCGCTTTGTGTGCCTGTGCATCCCACTCGGCTGCGCGTTCAGCACTGCTGAGTTGTAATCGCCTGTTGTCTGCCTCGCAAATTACACAAATCTGGACAGCAAGGCATCAGAATTGCTGACAAAGAGAGCCAGGGTGCCACAAGGCTTCAGGACCCGCCTCCTCGCCGCAGCCACCCAAACCAGCCGCCCTGTTGCTGTTGCTGCTGCTGCTGCTGCTGCTGCTGCTGCTGCTGCTGCTGCTGCTGCTGCTGCTGCTGCTGTTGCTGCTGCCTGGCCAGCGCCTGTTCCTGCTCCTCCTGCTGCTGCCGCCGCCGCTCCTCCTGCTCGCGCCTCTTCCGCCGCCATGGCTTCTCCTCCTCCTCCCCGGCTGCTCCCGCCTGCTGCTGTTGCTGCTGTGTGCCGCCGCTACCGCCGCCCTGGGCGGCGTTGTTGCCGTCGCCGCCGCTGCCGCCAGCGCCGCTGAAGCTATCAATGCTGCCCTTGAGCGACCTAAAAATGGCCTTGAACAGGGCGACCACGGGGTCTCTCTCTGGCCCGTTTGCCCGCTCCTCGGCCTGTGCGCGCGCCTGCGTTTTCGGCGGGGTTAGGAGGCGTGGCAGTGCAGGCGAGGTGCATGTCAGGCGGCTCGGCGGGCCGATTTTACAATGGAGGTCCCCGTGATGATCTCGCGCACGCTTCCTGAGCAGCCGCTGCCACGTCCTAAGATGCTGCCCGTATTGGCATCTGCATCGCACTTCAACGCGGCGGCGACAAAACGGCGGCCCTCGTGCGGTGGGTCCGTCACCCAGGCGCACCAGCGCAGCCCTGCACTCGTTGAACGCCTCGAAGGCGCTCGTGCAGAAGTCCTTGTCGTAGTTGTGCCGGTCCAGGCCTGCTCCGGGGACGGAAAGGTGAGGGCCCGGGGTCGCACATGGGGCGGAGCAGTGGGGCTGCGGCACGGCTGTGCTCCCCTCCTGCCTGAGGAGCCTCGTGGTGGGCCCCACTCAAGAGCAGTGCCGCAGAGGCTCCCCTCCAGCCGTGGGAACGACGTACATTCTAAGGCTTGTGCATAGGCTGGGTAGCAGGGGTCCTTTGAGAGCTTGTGGAAACCAAGCGGCAGGGGCGCGGGTGGCGACGCAGCACCATCCGGCGCGGGCGGCGCGCTTGGCTGCGCCATGGAGAGCGTCGTAGGATTGGAGCAGGGGTATTACAGCCGTGCGATAGACTATGTGCGGCGGGGAAGCAGTGCCGAAGCGACTCCAGTCACCAGCACGACGACGCTGTGATCTGCAGAATTTGTGGCAGTCAAGACTGAGATGAAAGTTATTGCAATCGCTATCACAATTGATTTCACTATACAAAGATCTGATCTCCACCGCGGTGCCGAAAGCAAAGCCATGACTGTGCTGGGAGACGACCCCCGCGTGCAACTGTGAGTACAGTGCAATGCATGCAATACGGTGGTATGATCTGCACACTTGCTGCTGGTGCAAGCGCATACCGCACGTGCCCAGCGACGCCTCGACCTGCGCCGCCCTCCCCTCTGCGCCACTTCCGTGGTGTGGTGCCACCTTGATAGACCAGCACATGCACCTGCAGGTGCGGCTTTGCCAAGCTGGTTGGCGTAGATGTTGACTACACTGCACGGTCTTACACAATTACAATCGGGCGCAAGAGCAAAACGCCCGTCGACGTCGCGCTTGGTGCGTGCCTGAGAGTTGCCAGCCACGGCATAGCCAAGGGGGGCGGTATGCAAACTTCTCAAGATGCACGCCATGACACCTATGTGTTGGTGGTTGTTTTGCCCTGGCTTGCAAGCTCACAAGACATGCAAGGTCTTCACACGTACCGCCCACGTCGCCTGCCGCAGCTGGCGACAACACCAGCATCTCGCGGCTGCATGCCCAGATCGCCTACAGCTTCGAGCGCGCCCGCTGGCAGCTCACGGTGCAAGGCAAGAACGGCGTCGTGCTGAACGGCCAGCTGCTCACACCAACGTCACCGACGGCGGACTTGATGTCTCAGGACCTCGTGCAGATTGGCGGGCAGGACCTGTACTTTTTGCTGCCGCTGGGGTCCGCCGAGGCGCAGGCGCGGCAGGCGCAGCAAGAGCAGCAAGAGCAGCAGCAGCAAGAGCAGCAGCGACAAGAGCAGCAGCGACAAGAGCAGCAACGAGAGCAGCACCAACGGGAGCAGCAAGAGCAGCAGCAGCAGCACTACCACCAAGAAGCGGTGGTGACCGTGCAGCCGGAAGGGGTGCACATAGCCACAGGCGGCCCTGAATACCCTGCATGGCAGGCAGCGGCACCGGCAGCCCAGCTGAGCGGCACCCCTACCGCTTTGGCAGCGGCGGCAGTGGCCCCGGCGCAATTGGCACACCCGGAGGCTGCGGTCTTGGGGAACATGCTGGCAGCGCAGCAGCTGCCTGGGCTCGGTCAGCAACAGCACCAGCCAGAGCAGCAGCAGCAGCAGCACTTGGAGGCAGTGGGGCTTGGCAGTTTCGCAGGGGTCCCCATCGGTGCCACGGCGCCAGGTCTGCTGCATCAACAATACGCAAGCTTCCAGCAGCAGCACATTGCCCTCCCGCAACAACAAGTTCAGCAGCTGCAGCAGATCAGTGGTTACGGCAACGGGCAGCCGTTCTGCAACGGCCAGGTTGAGGGTATGCAGCAGTGAAGCGAGCAATTGTCGAAATCCAGGATGACATATGCGAGTCAAGCAGGGCCCAACTAACGCAGCTGTTGAATGTGTAACAGAAGCACCTCAACGCGAGTATCCTACTTCTATTTCTAGAGACCAATTGCAGTCTTCAACGGAGCTACGTCGTTGACGCAGCTGCATGTTCTACGACATCACACTCCACAGACGCCACTCCGGTGACCGCCTGCGTCAGGCCCGCGGCGGTCTCCCGCGCCGCCGCCTCCCCACCCCCGCCCCTCACCGGCCACCCTCGCCGCTGCCGACGCCGCCCCGGCGGCCCCCTTCCGCCGCCTCCGCCACCATCCACTCCAGCACGTCCCCTACCGCGTCCCCTTTGAGCGCTGACGTGTATATGATGCATAGCCGCCCGCCGTTGGCGGCGGCCAGGTCTGGCAGCCGCAGGCACAGGTCGACTTCCCACCGCGACAGAGTCTTAGGGGCGTCGCACTTGTTGACGACGAGGCACACGGGCTTGCCCTGCGGCGTCGATAACGGGGAGGGTGTGACGGGCACGGCTGGGGCGAGGCAGGGCGCGTGGGTGCAGCGCGCGAGGGCCGGATCGCTGGGAGCTGCACCGCGCTCGCCAACCCGCTCTGTGTGTGACGACTGCGGTGCAGCTGCTGCCCCCGCCTCTGCCCGCCTGTACCAGGCGTATTTCAAGGCGTACATCTGGCATCGCAAGAGCCCAGACAATCGGGCCCCCCTGTGTATGCTGGATGCGGCGTTTTTGCTTACGATCAGGTCCTCATGCACTAGAGCGGCGAATAGCTCGACAGCTGCTTGCGCCAGTGAGGCTGCGTCTGAGGCGTCCACGACGAAGACCACCGCGCGGCATTCCGAGAAGTACACTGGCCACAGCGGAAGCATCTGGCCCCCAACCTCCCTGGTACGGTTGCATGGACACATGTGCATGTCAACAGGTGTGCACATTTTCTTTTTGGGGTCGGACAGGCACTGGCTGCCGCACGTGCTGCCTGCACTCTGTGAGCCACGTGCTCGCTGCGCCTACCTGGCCAGCAGCCGCTGCGGTGGCCTCCGGCGACCTGTACACACTGCCAAAAGCTCTGTGCCTATTGTTGGCAATGTGTCGCCCTGGCCCTCTGCCCCCGTGTCTGAAGGAGCCACTCCCCCGCGTTGTCTGCTCTCCTTCCTGCTGTGCAGGCCTGCAGGGGCAGGGCGCAAATGAGCAATTGCCCTGTGGCGGCCGGTCTGACGAGCAATCCGCTTCACAACATGATTTATGCATTTGTACCTTGCAATCGCTGCAGAAGGAGTGTCTTGCCGGCCCCCTGTGCGACGAGCGATGGTGCGTGGGCCGTGCAGCGAAAGCACAAGCTGCAGTGGAGGGCACTCCAGGCCGTCGAGCAGCAGCGGCGCCGCACACGCACCTCCAGGCCGATAAATAGCACGTCTGGGGTCGCTGCAGGCTTGGCGCGTCGACACGAGCAGCACCACATGGTCCCGGTCAACGTCCTGATGAGATCACCCGTGATATAGACAACGGTCACAGCTAAGCGAATCTTTCCTGTGATGCAACAATAACAAGAGGCGTTTGTCTTATGGCTCTCGCGCGGACGCTTCCCAGCCGTTTCAGTTTGGGTTGGCACGGATCTCTTCTGCCCTCGACAAACTGCGGGACCTGCCCGGCCGCGTGGAAAATGGCACAATCGTCACGATCGGCACATGCGTTGTTTCGGATTATGTCTTGAACTCAGCAGCTTATCATACAACCCCACAGCCCTGCGAAGCAGCTGAGCACGAGTGCGTGCCCCTTGCAAGCTTGCGTGGGGCCCCGCGGAGGCATGGGCTGCATCAGCTCTAAGCCGGCCGTGCTGGAGGCCCCCGTGATTGCGGAGAAGGCGGCAGCGAGTCCCGGTGTCGAGGTGGAAAAGCCTGGCGTGGAGGTGGGACACTGTCGGTGTGGGCGTCTGTCGGAGCTCTCTTGCTCCCCATACGGAGGTTAAGACAGCTGATACACGTGCTATCGACGATCAGGTGCCGGCGAGCGGTGGGCGCGAGGACTCATCTCAGCTGCTGGTGGTGCTGAACGAGGTGATCTTACCTGAGGACGAAGACGTGCGGTGGGAGTCTCTCAACTCGTACAACATCCTTGACACGGTGCGATATGGCGGCGGCGGGCTGCGTGCCGATGTTGTGCGCTCGATGCATTGTGGCTATGCATTGCGCGCTCGGCAGTGCGGCCAGCGCTTGGCGCTTGTACGCCCGGTGCTCCGCCTGTAGCCCCGTGTGCGGTGCAGCTGCAAATTTGTGTGGCGCATTCGGTCGCGGCTTCCTCTTTGTCCGTGTATAGGCGACTGCTGTTCTCCTGGCTGCACCCCCTGTCTTTGATGGGCGGGAACACCCATGATGGCAACACCTTTGCACGTCCTGCCACGCGGCCTGGCAAAATGGCAATTTGCAGGAGCCCGAGGAGGCGTATGAGCGCATCACTAAGCTCTGCAAGACGCTCTTCAAGGCAAGCAGCAGCGAGCACAGCGGCGGGGAGCTGTGTTTGACCCTGGCCCGCGGGGAGGGAGCTTGGACGCGGCGTCCACAGCGCCAGGCAGCGGGTGCCGTGCCACTCAAATGCTGTGGTGACGGCAAGGCGTGCATAATCTTGTCTGCAGGTGCCCATCTCGATGATTACGTTCGTGGATAAGGACAGGGTGTGGCTCAAGTCCGTCCAGGGGCTGTCGGGTTTCACGGAGGTGGACAGGCGCTGCTCCATATGCGCGTGGTGAGCCAGGACGTGGCGGCGCAAGAAGCGAAGGAGCTGCGGGTGTCAGGGCAGTTCTGGCGGTGGACGAGGAGCGCGGGGCAGTGCGGCTCAGCAGCTGCAGGCCAGCGGGACTGGCCGGAGGCCGCGGCTTGCTTTGCGGTTCCGTTTTGCGGCCGCGGCAGCAGCCAGCAAGCCTGCGCGCCTGGTTGTGTCTCATGGGGGGCGGCTCGCGCCTCCCGCCCACGGCGCTCCGCTCCCGGTCGCGCCCCCTCTCGCGCCGCAGGGCGCTGCTGAGCCGGCACCCTGAAGCGCTGGTCATCCCTGATCTGCGGGTGAGCCTGCGACGCCGCGCCTGGCACTAGAAACGCACGCCGCGCGGGGTCCAGTCGCTCAGCAGCAGCCGCGCCGCCTCCGCGACCACGCCGGGGCGGTGGCCTTGCCCCGCGGCCGTGTGCGCCAACCCCCGGCCACGCCGCGTTCGGCCCCGGCGCTACACGGCTGCTTCATCCACGTGTTGAGCGGCGCCGGGTATTCGCGAGGTCGGGCGACGGCGGCGGGATCGTGAATTTCACGCTGAACGTTGCGCCCCCTGCAGTTGGACATCCGGTTCAAGGACTACCCCATAGTGACCGGGTGGCCGCACGCGCGGTCCTATGCTGCAGCGCCCCTCGTCACATCCGGCGGCCAGCGGCTCGGCACGCTGTGAGTGGCGGCGGCGGCGGCGGCGCGGGGGCGCGGGGGCGCAGGGGCGCAGGGGAGGGGGTACGGGCACGCGATCGCCATTGCTCAGGATGTGGGGCGCATGGGTTTGGGAGGGACGTGGCGGGTATGGAGATGCCTTTGTGACCCTGTCCCAAGCTACTCACCGTACGCGGC